CATCGAATGGATCTTGAAGCAGCAGATGTTTTGGGTGGCTACGGCTGCGCTGCAGGGGGATGGGCATGTCAATGTCTCTCCCAAGGGCACTGCGGGTTGTTTCCACGTCGAGAGTCCTACCAGAGTTTGGTATGAGGATCTTACTGGCAGTGGTATGCTGCGTTTACATTATGCAAGGTTTTACCCTAAGACTCGCGTTCTGATTCATATGGTTTGTAGGTGTCGAGACGATTGCGCACATGCGCGAGCCCGGAAACCGTCGTATCACGATTCTCTTCAACGCGTTTGAAGGACCCCCGAGAATCCTCCGCTTGTGGGGCAAAGGTAAGCATGTTCTTTCCATTCATCCTGCATCCTACTACCCACCTCAAATTCCTGCATCCTTTCTCACTTTCAACACCCAAATTCCGTTCTCACTGACCTATCACAGGCACCGTATACGAATTCGGCACGCCAGAATACAACGATTTCATCCCCCCGTCCAATCGTAAAGCTGGCTCACGCGCCATCATTGTCATCGATGTGCACAAAGTTGGAACGGTACGTTCTTGTAATTCTTCTACGCAATGCCCAATCAAACTAAACTTCCCGTCTTCCCAAAACTCCAGTCCTGCGGCTTCGGCGTTCCGTTGTACAAATATGAGACCCAGCGTACGATTCTCGAGCGTTGGTGTGACTCCATGGAAAACTTTGATCGTGATGGCGAGCCACGCCAAGCCCCTCCTCCATATGAATCCGAAGCCCTCGTAAAAGACCCACGTGGGATCAAAGCATGGTGGACAGCTGAGAATATCAATAGTTTTGACGGCCTTCCGGCCCTACAACATGCACACGACAGCAGCGTCCCGCCCATCAATACGTTCGACAAAAAGGCCCCCCATCCCAGTCTTGGCCAGATTAGGGCTGCGGCAGGGAAAAAGGCTGAGGAGAGTAATGCTAACGTCAAGTCGAGTTCGGGGGAGACAATAAGACTGATGATGGCTTTTGGAATGGGGGTCGTGGTGACGGCGGGCTACATGAAGTTTGCTACTTCGTTTGTTCCGGTGTCTTGGAAAGCGTGACCTCAAAATGGCTTCACACGGCTTCTTGAAATAGTTAGGTACGAATAACTTTAAAGTTCTCATACTTGTTTTAGTAGTGCGAGTCGGCCCTCGGGCAATGACGAGAGAAATCGAGAACTCTAGAAGCACTTGATTAGAAAGAAAGAAAAACATGGGTAATATATTTCTCTAGGATGGCGAGCGAGTATGGAACATAGACTAAATGTACAAAAGATAAGGAAAGAATCAGAAAAACTGTTAATTGAGGGACTAATGGAGCATTACCTCCTCAATGAATTGTTTTATCAAGTTCTTTTTCATCAAGAAATGCATATCATTGAAGAGTATATAAATATATGATTCAAGAAACAGACTTCACTCTTTGTCTATCAGCTCGAAGTTCCGGGTAGTGACACACATCAATGATCATCGAATCGATCACCGGCGTCATCGACAACGGGCTCTTATCCTACGCCGACATGAGAGAAAACAGCAAATATTTATGAACACCGCATCTACATTGTGAACATCGAAAAGGCACGAAGGCAATTAATGACCTCATGAACATGCAACCACTCACCCAATCATGGTACACCGGTGCCCGGACACTCGTCCGACTCATCGATGCATCCACGAACCTGGGAATAATGTCCATGGGACCTGATCCCAAAATCTGGCGCATGCCAATCAGGCATTGAAGCAAGGCACACAAGGTCAACGGCTGGGTGAGAACGGTAGATACACCGGTACATTTGCTACGTGTCTGAAATATTAATATATGCAGGGTTTCTCCTAGTTTCCCCCGTACTTGAGAATACTTTGCAAGTAATGACTCAGATAACTGGTCTAAGGGAAGAGCGCCGAGAGCACATACTAGACTCTAAGCGAGGCATCAGTTCCAGGGAACATTGCACTTAATATCGCGGAATGTACCTGGGTCCTGGGTTCCTGCAGGCTTGGATCTATGCCACGGGTTTGACTCGCCGAGGTCTTGGGCCTAGAAGTAAAGGTCCGGATTAAATGGGTCATACTTACGATACGAACAGCGGCGATTATGCAAAGTATAGCTAGCATGAAAAGAAGCAACAGGGAACACAAAGAGCACGTAAAATCTGCGCGTGAATTCGCCGTTCGGGCATGCACGCGTGCGTGCGTTTTGCGGTGGCAGTGCATGTTAGTTCTGCCAGCTTTTGCATGTAGTGGAGTTCTAGTTGTTGGCCGCTGTGAAGCAGTCAGCGCTGCAAGAAATTTTAGGCGCTCGTGGGCATGATGTATGACCCATCACTATGCCACGAGGACCCAGTGGCGTGAAAAAACAAGCGGCTTGCAAGGAACGGGGGTCGCAAGCAACAACCGGTGGAGCAGCCAGGCAACTTCATGCGTGAGATTTGAATCTAGCGGAATGACCACCATGGAAGAGTTTCCAAGTTCTATGGTGGGTTGGGACCTGTTGGGGCAAGGGCATTAAGGGAGCAATAGATTCAAATTCGCGATGAACCAGGTACAGGTCGAATGTTCCTGCCGCGGTAGAACTAGAGAGCCAGCGGCTCGTTCAAAGCTCGTCAACCACCCATATCCTATCATCATATGGAAAGATCAGTTCAGCAATAACTTGAATGCTCCGTTTACCTCCAAACAACCAAGGCTATGACACTGGCCTTGTGAATGCCTGCCACGCGTATGAATTTGCTTTCCGAGCTATGTGGCGCGATATGTATGATCCTGGGACCGGGACCTTACGTGTAAGACACAACCAAGTTTGATAGCAGTGTCAGGCACGGAACTACTCATGGCATGTGAACTTTCAGGCTTCGTTTATCCCAAAATCCTTTTAAACCGCTTAGACAAACCAGCATGTATTACAGAATAGTGATTATATCCGCCCCCACACCTTAAAGCTCTCATGAAGCTCTCAGCACTCTTTTTTGTCGTGGCCTCTGCCTGTACCGTGTTAGCTGCACCCACAGTGAGTCCATCTGGTCGTACAATCATTTATTATCTGGTGCTAATCTTTTCTCGGTATAGTTGGTGAGCGGTGGTTTGGAAGCGAGAAGCCCGTTGGAGGAGGCTCGTGAGGTATGTGATCCATAGTCGTCGTCGTCTGTGTACATCCATTTACTCCATCGACCCAAAGCCTAGTCCTCCAGACTGGAAGCGGATTGCACAGTCGGGTGGAACTCCCGACTGGTAAATCCACAGTGATGATCGGGCCGGACCTCTACACATCTACTTAATCCATCACTCGTCGTTTGTTTTTCTCGTATTCGATTCGTGAGTTCGACCATTGTGTTATTCGCGTCCCACTCACTTATCGCTCTCCTTGCCGTAATTTTTTTTTCAGTCTTGCACAGACTCATCTTAAAGTCTCGGTCTCTCTTTGCAGTACTATTAATCGATCTGGGCATTTGCGCCATCTATAGAAAAGGGTGGGCTAATTGTGGTGGAGTAATCCGTGTACTCTTAGGCGGTGGGTGATAGGGACAGACGCTCCTGTGCTGCGGTTGTACAAACCTACGAGGAGTCGTATTGAGCTATGGCGATTGTACAACGGCGGTCTATAGATAGCTTGTAACCTTCCCAGATATTGCATCAAATTTGATTGATGCCGATTTCCAGGCACTTTCAGGCACTGCTTTGCCAGCTTAAATTTGCATGAGACTGGTCACTGGTCAGGTCAGTTTTCATATTACTACTTGGCCTTTAGGATGACGCCGGTCATGGAGCAACTTGGGCTCATGAGTTATCATCATGACTCAACTCCAATATTGTTGGAGTCCGAATGGGGGGCGCGAGGAGAGACCTGTAAGAGATTAGCGACAAAGAGCTGCGCCGCCCCTTGCCAGGCTATTCAAGACATGCGGAGAACATGCACAGCTGCCACAAAACCAGTGACTGCGGTCTGTAGCTGTCATCTGACATCGCCTATCATATACATAGCCCAAGGCACGCGCTGGTTGATAGAATATCGATACGGTACACGCCCAGTACACGACGAAAATACGCGGTGACTTACCCTGTGCGCGTATCATGTGATGACATTAATATAGATATCAAGACTTACGTATCTTACGCTCTTTTGATTGTCTTCCGTGCCGCTACTTATCTGCTGCTATCTTTATCTGCAGTCATGGATCAAATGTACACTTACTCTGCTCATTTAAGCGCTGTGCTGGTCGCCGGCTGCAGTGAGCCTGGGACCCTCGAGCTCTGTGACCACACGAACCGTCGGAACACCGTGCAATCATTACTGTAACAGAACGCAACATCAGTGGTCACAAGTGCACCGAAAGTTAAGCAGACCTAAGATTCTCGAAATACATTACGCTGGCGAGCATATGGGCGTCTCTATGGCCGTACATGTAGCATCAAGATGGACTTTCTGGGCGAGGTAATGCAGGATACCGCTCGACACGTCACAGACCCCCAGCACATAAAGAACCACGTCGCCACGACTCTAGAAGTCACTCCACACCCCCGTTTGCAGTTTTGCAATGCTCGTAACACCATTTAGCAAACCAATGCCCTGCACTGGCTACGAAACATGATGCCATATTGCACGCAAATGATGCGGAGTGAAGGGTGAGTAAAGGCATTTGTTAATTTTGCGATCCATGTACACGTCTCATCATTTACTTCGTGACTTTGTACGTGTATGATATGCTTCCACAGGACGGTCGACATCGAGGGACCGTTGATTGACCTTGGCTCACGCATCTGGTGGTGTCCCACCGCGGAGTTCACCCTACTTTCTCTATGTGCAGTGGGACCTTGCGCGAAGAAAAAACGTAATTTGTCTCATTTTTACGTCTCCTCCTATGCCCCAACTTTGGCGGCACTCATTGGCACGAGACCGCGTGTATCTCAAGGTGCGTCCGTGCAGCGCTTCGTTGCCGTTGGTCAAGCAAATCTGGCTGGAGGAAAGGAACTTCGCTGAATTAGACATTGTCGCTGAGCGGGCAGTGGCACCCGTCCTGTCCTTTACATCCCTCACCGACGGCGACGCAACAATCCAGGGGGCATCCGATATGTTTAGTCAAAATCAGTAGTTTTACCTTACCTGCTACAGAGTGCTGAATCGGAAACAACCATTCGAGTCTTCCTTTGCGATCCGCGACGGTCTGGAACCATCATGGACATCATCCAATCTCGGTTGCAGAATCCAGAGTTTGCTTTCTTATCAGCCTGTCAGGATACACCGAGTACCGAGCACCGATGAGGCGATTCGTCTTGCTGCAGCGATGCAATTCTCGGGATTCCGCAGTGTAATAGATTCGATGTGGTCTGTCAACAACGAAGTTGCTCGTCAAATCCATCTTAAAAAAGCCTGGTGACTATATAGTACTACCAACAAAGAAAAATAAACTGTCAGTTATTAGTAGCAGTTTATTTCATACAAGAACCAGAGCAGCGGCAAGGTCACCGTTGAAGGCGCCTGCGGGAAGTGACGGATATTGTGTAATCCTGTATCAATCAAAACCTCGAGGCCTAGGCCTCGTGCACTACCTTTTCCATCAATAACACAATCAGTGACCGCTCGCAGACTACAACTGCCGTTTTAGCCGTGCAGCAGGAGATGGACACGCAACCAGACTCTGGTCGTGCTTTCCCTCCGGACGCGGTTTCTTCTTTCAATATGACCAACTTTGGTGCACAGCACTTTTCCCGAAGTTATCCCCGTTCGACAGCGCAACATCGTCAACATCCATATATCATACTAGGAAGGAAAACATTGACCCAAAAGCTTCGCAGAATCCCTGAAAATTCAAGTTTGGGAACGGACACTAGAGTTGACCGTCATTTGGTAGCAGACCAGCAAAGATTCACTGGTACTCTCGAACCATTTCCACTTACTACTTCCAATGTCGTCCCCCCCACTCAACTGATCACTTCGATCATCATCCCAAACTTAACTAGTTTTATCACCCGATGCAGCCCAGACCCAATCGCCGGTGGCACATATGGGAATATCTACAAGTGTATATACCGCGGACCAGAGGGCGATGTAGAGGTTCGTGCGGATGTCACAGTTCTTCTACGCCCACCAACTCAACACTCGCCCGCAGGTCGCCGTCAAAGCGATTAGACAACAATTCTTCAGTGCCGAGGTAATGTTCTATCTGAGGGGATGGTCGGATTCTCATAAAGCTTTCTTAGATCTTTCGGAGAGAGCTTGGAATTTGGAAGAGGTTGCGGCATTCTAATATTTTGAAATTCATGGGTACAACTTCGGACTTTGGCCCCTCAGCAGCTTTGGTTGCTCCATGGATGACAAACGGCACTCTGACGTCGTTTCTCGACCAGAATAACGAGACCCTCTGGCTGCATGATCGTCTGCTTTTGGTGAGCACTACAAATACGTTCCCAGTTTGCACAACCGAGTTCATTGTTTTGTGCATAAGCTTCGTGACATTGCTGCTGGCCTCAACTATCGTGGGTAAAAATGTGCATATCCGAAGGAAAATTAATCATTTTTTGTGTCAGTTCATACGTTCAGCTTGATGGAAGACGGACATACGAACTTGAACCCCATTGTTCATGGAGACCTTACTGGTGTAGGATCCATTATTTATTCTATCCCTCACATACTAATGATCAGTTGCAAGACCAACGTCCTCATCGATGGTGATAGAAAGGCATATCTTGCAGATTTTGGCCTTTCCGGAACTTTCAAAAAATCGACCGGCATGACGTACCTCGCCAAAATGACTTGTCATCCAGGCGCAGTGAGATGGGCAGCTCCTGAACTTCTTTCCGGGGAAGAACCAGCTTCCGCAACCACTCAAAGCGACATGTATTCCTTCGGCAACATCATGCTTCAAGTAAGTTATTCCCTCTTGCTAGTGCAGCTCGCTAAGATGTCCTGCAGGTTTTGACGGGAAATGTGCCCTGGTGTCACTTGACCTGTGACTTCCAGATCACGTATCAAGTGGTTATTGAGGGGAAAATACATCCCCGTCCACACGATCTTTACGTCACAGACCGGCACTGGAATTTTATGACCCGCTGCTGGTCTATGCCATTTACTGATCGGCCTCCTGCCAAGGAAGCAGTTCAATTTGTTGATAGCGCTTTACACCTGAGTACGAGCTCCCAGAGCTCGACGTTGTCGATCTCCATTGACGAGCTACACCGGAGTGTAGTCCGTAATGATTATCTTCGAGAGAACACTGATGCTCGTAAGACTCCTATCGTAGAACACTCTTGCTTGCTTTCTCATATTGTCGTAGGACTTTCGATGATGCAGGATATTGATTCACCCCCGGACGCTCTCAGGACAATATGTTTTGGGACCTCATACAGCCAGGGAATTCGCCTGTCTTCATGGCCACCACGACGTCCAGTACACCGAGTCATTATGCTGCCTCTGATTTTCAACCTTTTGTGCCCCAAATGAACATGAACGTCGAGCAATTACTAGGGGCAATGTCTTACTCCATGAATAAAACGAATGCGGCTGTCTCTCTTCTGCAGCGGGTTCTACCTCAAAAGCTGTCCACTGAAGAGCCTGACGATCACGATATGGCAAAACTTCGAGATCCCACAGGGGTCGAGGCTATGAAATTAATCGAGTCAGTTTTTTATTCATTCCTGTTGTGTGTCTCATATCTGAGTACCCCTTTAGATATCACCTCAACAATTTCATGAGAAATAGTGGCTATTGTCTTCCGGCTTCATTACGACCAACTCTGGTGCAGAGGTGAGCGCGGGTCTCCAAAGTTTGATGGCCACATGCTCACTAGACATCCTCAAGAACGATCCGTCATGGTATATTTGTTTCGCCTTCTATTTGACATGTACTGAGTCTTTTACAGAGAGTGTTATTGATCGTATTATATATCCTGATCTCCGAGACCGTATTATTCTTCTTCGAGGTAGTCGCATACCCATTTTCGAGCTTAGTAATATTCTGACATTTTTCAGGGCAATTTTCGTTAGCGGATTGTTTTTTTGATTACCAGAAGGCAATCAAACTTCATGGAGATGATGTCCTTGCCCAGCATAACTGGGAACTTGCCGAGTGGTGGTTACGGAAATACAGGTGCGCCTTGCAAGCTGTGTAATGCCCATATTGTATGCTCATTCTTTTCTAGTCACCTCGTCGATAAGGTAACCTTGAATGTCTGTAATCGCTGGAGGCGCGAGCGCGGTGAACTCGAGTTATTGCTATCTGATATTGGTGCTCCAGAGGACTCTCCCCTGTCCTAATGTAGTTTCAAGCTAAAGCCTTGTAAACTTATTACTATACAAGCGTTCCGATCACCTTCGGACATTTCCTATTGTCAACTACAGTAATAGATGCTTGTATACTACGTTCGCCGTTGTCTTTTCCTCCTCATCCTACGGTCGACTCATCGAGGGACCGTTGACTGACCCTGGCTCATGCATCTGGTGGTGTCCCACCGCGGAGTTCACCCTACTTCCTCTACGTGCGGCCGCTGGTCCTTAGAGGGCACATAACTTCCCCTTCTCCCACAATCAGTGGGAGAAGGGATTTGACACTGACTCGGAGCAAACCGTACTCAGTCAATGAAAAATTGACCATGTTCATCCCAGGCTAGTGAAAAAATTAGATATACAACACTTAGGCTGCTTCAGACCACACTACAGAGGATAATGGGCATTAGGATAATGGGCATTAGGATCATGACCAGACTGGCGTGTACTAATCCTTACCAACATCGTGAAAACACCAAATGTTCCTTAGGAAAAAGTCTAATGACAGTGGCATGATATCAGTCTGTTGACGCGCTTGATTGAAATGCGTGCATCTCATCAGGAATCGTTGGTAATTGGTGTTTGTTGGTCGTCAACCCAATCAACGAGAGTCTGATACGGAAATCATCCTCGCTAGCACGATTTCCAGACGGTACCGTAGGACCTTCATCAGAGAATGCATCATAAACCTTGTCTATAACTTCTGCAGCGCCACTGATGTGTAGGACATGAGCAACCGCAGAATGGAGCGCAATGAGCGTAGGGTTGGGAAGCGGGACGCCATCTCGAGAGTGATCCCGGAATTGGACTTCTGTGAAATTCTCCTTGTGCAAAGGGACATAGCGTAACCAGTGTACTTTATTTGTGCAAGACGTCCTTTCAAGGGTATAAGTATCTGAAATTTCACAACAAAAACTAACCATACTGTGGGGTGTAGGCACCATCTGTAGCTGTCGAATCCACGATGCAGTGCTATATCAAGTAACATTCCATTCTCTGGGTTATCGATGATACCGGCTAGGTCGTCCATAATCTCATCAGGGAGCTTTGTATAATGCTTGATTATGTCAATCGTTCCCGCTATGCGCTGGAGAACAATCAGCTGGACGGGTGTATCAACTTGCTAGTTGAAGAACATACGTTGCTTCTGGGATGCTCGTGAACAATGGATCTTGGAAGGATGTGAGCAGCGTCGAGGTACCCTTCACCAACCTCAGTAGTGCGGGGATATGGACCGTTAGCTATATTCAAAGTTCCGGTGACCACACACTTGTCGCCATCCCGTTCGTTGATCTAGATGATCTTTAGATGAACACCCCTGCAAAGA